GGGCCTCCGCTGCCCTGCCCGGCCCGGCCCGGCCCGGCCCGGCCCGCGGGGCCGCCCCTGCGGCGGGACCCCCCGCGCTGCGTCCCCGAGCCTCCCGTCGGGCGCCTGGCTGTCGCCCAGACCCAAGGCACACAGGGCTGCAGCAGCAGAGCGAGGGCGCCGCACGCTGCTCCGCGCACCCCTCACCCTGCGCCTTTGGCAGAGCCCCGGGGCGCGGAGCCGAGTCCCCTCGCTGCACCCTGTGCTCGCAGCCAACAGGCAGAGGGGCTCTCCTCGTGCGTGGCTAGAGCGCTGTGCTTCCCAAGCCACGAGGGCACAGCCCGCGGGCACAGCCGGTGTGATCCTCACCTGCACACCCCTGCAACAAGAGCACGGAGGGCTCTCCCGGGGCGGCACCTTCCCAGTGCCACCTGCCAGGCAGCCCCCAAGCGCAGCCAGGGCTCCGTGCCCTTACAGAAACAACGAGCACTCTAGCCCAAGCTGCTCAGCAGGTCCCGTGCAAAGGAGGCAACCGAGTATAGAAAAAAAAACAGCAGAAAGCATAAGGAAGAGCCAACCACCTGTGACACAAACCCTGCACAAAGCAGTTCCTCTAGGAGCAAAATGCAAGGGACAGAAGTGACTGAGCAGGCGGTGAGGCAAAGCGCACTGCGACCGAAACGGGCAGGCCGGCCGGTCGCACAGAGCGGCCGCGGGACAGGGCAGCGCGAGCGGGCAGCGCTCGCCAGGAGCGGCCACGGCCGCGGCTCCGGCACCAGCCTGCCCGCTCCCCCGCCTCAGCTTCGATCACGTACGTACGGGGTCATTTCTGCAATTAACTCTAAGCTTTCCATACCAAATTGCCAAGAAATTGGATACAGTCACAGCATATTACTTAGATCATAAAACCTAGTAATTAATAATTGAAGAAATTAGCTTTTACAACACTATTCTCTCGCACATACAAATTAAGTATGATTCAATTAAAGGAATAATCTTCCTTTCTGAACGGTGATCTCAGCAACCAATTTCATATACTATAAAAGAGAAGCAAGACTCTTGCAATAACATTAAAGTTGTAATAAAAGTAAAATCAACTATATAATTTTACAGAAGAAGGAAACTGAAACGTTATAATTAACGTCTCATACAAGGTACAGTTTTGACACCAGATCCCAGAGGTTCTTTGGCAGTGGAAGGGAGCAGCGCTGAACCCCGGCTGGAGGGAGCTCCGCGCTGCCGGCACCGCGGCTCCGAGGCGGCGCACACGGCTCAGCACTTACCGGGGACGTTTTTAGCATTTACTAGTGGTGTTTTTAAGTCAACCTACCATTTTCTATCCAGTACCAAAGATCTAAAAGCCAGAATCTGCACCAACGCAGAATGCATTTATCTACCCATCAGTCTTTCAAGCAGGCTAGCATGCCTTGATATCCCTAAGATAGCCCAACACAACAAGTTCTGGGCACATACAAATTACAAGACAGCTATATATTTTTTTCAATGGTGAATGCATTAATCTCTGAAAATCTGAAAATCAAGAAATCTCTGAAAAACAAGAAAAATGCAGCAAACCTGACCTCAGCAAACGGGATTTTGGCATGGCCTGCTAATTCAGCAACATGCATTCCCACTAGGAAATTAGGAAGAAAGCACTAGTGGGTTTATTTTTGGATGAAATTCCCGTGATTTTACAACCCCTGCATGCAGTACTAGTTGTATGGAATCAGTAGGATAATTTTTAAATGGATGGGCAGCATAAACACTATTATTCTCTAGATATTGTAGATATTTGAATATATGCTTCTCTGAAACCCACTACAGCAGAATTACATTCTCATTGTCATTTAGAGTCAAACAAGAGATTGTCTCAAGACAACAAAAAACAGCCAACATAGGAGTAAACTTATGTCTTGAAAAGTTACAGGTTTGAATGTCTACATTCTTGCAAGATATTAATGTAAAAATCCAGTAAATATGTTCATTCAGTGAACTGCAGAGGATGTATGACAACTCAGGGACAGAAGTGTCGTTTCTGGCAAGCAGTAAGAGAGGAAAAAAAAGGTCTGGCCGCTTTGCATGCTGAATGAGAGACACCTTTCAAACATGGTGTGAGGTGCGGGGCTGCTGCTTCCCTTCCTGCCCTGTGCTGGGCTGTGTCGCTTCCGCCTTGCACAGCTCGCAGGTATTCGGGAGCCCCCGCAACTCAGTGCTCCTACACAAGCCCATTTGTTCCGTGCGCCGTATCGGTGCTCTGCACCTCCGAGGCCTCTTCGAGCTACCAGGCGAAGAGTGAGCAATTTCTATAAAAGGCTATCAAAGCTTTCAAAAAAAAAAATCCATCTTTTTTTTTTTTTTCAGTGAATGTTTAATTAATCTATTTTTAAAGGAGAATTATGAAACTGAAAAGTGCCTCCTTTAATCTTCATTATAGGATTATTATGATAACCTAATTATTAAGGGAAACTGGAAAACGTAGATACAAAACAACGGTTCCGAGGATGTTGGTATCGGAGCAGCGTGGCAGGACGCTAAGCCCCCAGCACTAGGGAGGCCTGGCAAGGCGGCTGCCAGCGCTGAGGGGGTTTGCGGTTGCTATTAGAAAGGGGCGCAAGCTGGGAGGGTTTCAAGCCCGGCCTGAACCTGGAGCGGCGCCGCAGCGGCAGGACGCCCTGTTCCCAGCCCCTGTGCACGCACACGGCCCGAGGCACTGACAGGGCACGAGGGCATCCCGGGGTGCCTGCCAGGAGCTGCTCCTCAGTCTTCAAGGCACAAAAACATTCAGAGCGAACCGTCAGCTCATACACACTCAGAAACATCTGGAAAACTGTCATGGTTTAGATCTGTTTCTTTAGTGACAGACAGTAACTGATGGGTTTGATTGACGCTGCCAAATGGCGCAAGAAAAATCCTTCATTTCTGCAGCCGCTTCCAGGCCGAGCAGAAGCAGCTCCGACCAGACGGGCCCGGCACTGCCCCGCTCTGCGACACAGGGCTGGGTGGCCCCGGGCTGCCCCCGTGCCCCGGGCGCACTCGGCACTGCCGCCAGCACCACGCGGGGCTCGCACACCTGCGCCTCTCCGCTCAGGCACCTGCGTCCAGCTGAATGGCTTACCCAAGCCCGCCTGCTCTTCAGGAATTCTGGGCCTGCTTCCCCGCAGGCAGCTGGATAACTGATCAACCCGTGGCTCTGTGCAGCCTTCCCCTTTGCTCGTAAGGATACTGGAATTTCATGAATGTCGGAGTCCCCACGAACACAGAGCTGGGCAGCAGCTTCCAACAGCTTCATTTTCAGATGTGTGTCAGAGTGTGCACAGGGAACAATGTGTTTTGTGCATTGTAACACTGCAGGCTTAAAGCCTATGTGCACCTCTGAAAGGACCTTGAACCCCCAATCTTCTGTCGCAGCAGCAGAGCAGCAATCTGGAGCGCGAAGCAAGGCACCCACCTGCGCTGCCCTGTCTCCTTACACTCCAGTTCGCTCTTGGCA